CCAAAACACAAATTTAGTATAATCTTTTTCTTTTAAATCATGTCATCGACAAGTGGAGTTTGGATGTGGGTATGCGTTCTAAAACAGCTGCAGCCACACTCACACAATTCCACACATCCACACCCTTATATGCAAAGGATGATGGGAAGATTGAGAATCCATTCATCGGGACTATAGTTTTCTTTAGGTGTAGTCAAAATACCTTATACTCTATCAATAAATTTTTAAAGAAAACAAGTCTTGATAATTGTCGCGTCAAGATAGAGTAAGGTCAGTTTGAATATTTGGAAATACTTCCTCATTAATCTCTCTTTGAATTTAACGTTGGCCTAAGAATCTAAGAATACCAATATTAACCTTACGAGGTGACATTAAATACTGCTATGTTTAAATAAATCTCAACTGAAAGTAGTTTTGAATAGAAAATGTTGAGAAACAATTAGTTTTCTGTGGTTCTAGGAAATGAACAGTTTCCAATATTGAATATATGTAAATCAATATTTTTTAAGATCACCTTTTATTCTTCACGTATTTTTTTTTGTCTGTTTATTCAAGTATTTTAATTTTTGATTCTCACAATCACAGTATGAATTCAATTTCAAAAATAGTCTTATTATTTATATCACATTTACGATTTTTGCTGTCTTATTTAATACAATACATCGGTTATCGAAGAACAGAACAAATGATTATTATATTGATTGAATATGAAAATTTCAAGTGTCAATAACTATTATTCTACGTTAAAATCATTTATTATATTTGTTTTCGTATACCAGAAAACTTTTTGTCTTTTTCACATTTGAACAATTAGCACAACAATATTCTACGAATAAAATTATTGCTGATTTGGATGACATTTATCACTAATTTTGAGACATTTTAAATTTTCATTTTATGTCAAACGAAAAAAAACTTAATATACGTGACAAAGGATAACTACTCACTAAGTTGTCTGTTTCTTTTCTTCGATTTTGCACATATATTCCCCAAATCCTCTTCCAATAAGTACATAACAGAATACCTACTACGTCATTGTAAAACTTAAGAAGAACAAGAGTTTATAGATATTAATGAGATCGACTATTCTTTTATTTCGTTAAACCTCAAGATAAGTTACTGTCGAGCAGTGCTAAATAAAAGACACAATATGAGTGTGTTTAACAGCAGTAATCATTTCAACAATAGCGTAATTGAGTAGAAAAGTTAGCTAAATCTAATATTTGCCCAAGCATTTACAACGAAAAAAGATACATAAAACACTAGGCTTAGCTCCTCTGTGAGATTTGTTTCCGTCTAAAATGATGCCAGATATGAGTTATTATAGAATGGTGCTACATAATATCATAAAGGTGTAAAAGATTTTCAGAAAGAATGCAGAAACAAACTGCTCTTAGCAATATGAACCATGCTTTTTGATAAAAAAAAACAGTCTAAGTCAACGTTTTTTGAAAAACAGAGAAAGATATACAGATAACAGCTAAAACGCTTTACATTGCATTCATCTAGAATCGCTATTTACCTAAACGATATCCTCCGTCAAGAATTTTCTCTATTTTATTCAATTACATTTGATGATTGCTTCACCTCAAATCAATCTTCATTTTACCGATGCAGTAAGTGATAATACGACTGATATTGTATTTCAACATGATTGTCTTCATGTTCTTGCTTCTACCGTAAAAAGAAATAATATTTATCAGATTATCTCTTATTGTTTAACTGAATGGTCATCAAAATGGAATATTGAAGAAAACAAACTTGATCAAAAATTTATTTTTAACAACTTTACAAACAAAATATTACTAATCAACAATTATATCTTTGATCACCACCTATAGATGTAGCTGAACGTTATCAGTTCTATTTAAAGTATCTTTCATATCAACAGAACTGTTCTGCAATGTACATTATCAAGATTTGATCGCTTCTGTCAATATTCATCATTATATGAAATTATTTTCGATTTTTATCAACATGAATATAATCCCAAAAATTTGACATGCTGTGCTCATTTAGAAGGCAATCGTGGTTCTACATCGCTATGTCTTGATT